GGCTCGCTGCGTGCACAGCGATGCTCCCAGGGACGGCGCAGCTGCTTCCAGCCTCACCCGCCTCGGCAGCTCGGCAGGCAGGAGTCTGCAGGTCAAGGGAGTGGGGAGTCCGCGAGCGAGGCGCTGGCGCTTGAGTCTCTGACCTTGCTAGCTCGCTGCGTGCACAGCGATGCTCCCAGGGACGGCGCAGCTGCTTCCAGCCTCACCCCGCTGCGCGCCTGGGCAGGCAGGAGTCTGCAGGTCAAGGGAGTGGGGAGTCCGCGAGCGAGGCGCTGGCGCTTGAGTCTCACTGGGTCTGACCTTGCTAGTCCAGGCCGGTGGGCGAGGCTCTAACCACTGAGCCACCGGCCAGGGCCGTGCCATCCTTGTGACCAGTCTGTCTTACTCTATCACTGGCCGTTCATTTCCTTCATAGCACTTATAATTTATCATTACATATTTTAGTTTATTTTAAAAACCTTACCTTTCAACTAGTCTCCAAGCTCCATGAGGCAAGGGACCATGTCTGTTTGTTGCACTGTAGCCCAAATGCTTGACACGGTGAAGCCAGCCTTAAGGAATAGAACTTTATTATTGCCTCCTACTCTGTGCATGGCAAGCGCTTGGATGGGCACTGCCAGGACAACACAGCTTGTAGGAGGCCTGGAGCTCCGGCTTACAGAGCCCCACCTTCAGCCGCGGCAGGACGGGCCCCTACATGACTGCACTTTGCTCAGGAAGATGGTCATGGCAGTGCTGCCCGAGGAATGACAGCAGAGCCTGGGAAGTGTGGCTGAGCCTCAGGCTTCCCAGTGCACAGAGCGCAGGGGGACTCTGCAAGTGCAGACACGGACTCCCCTGTGACAGAGCGGAGACCTGCCTTTCTAACCCACTCCTCGGACATCAATGCCGCGGGCCCACAGGCCACACTTTGAGTAGCAAAGACCTGGAGGACAGTGTGGACATTTTGCAATAATATAAGTGACAGCCAATAACAGTCTCACTGAGCACCTCTAAGTGGCTAGGGGCAAGTGGCCGACTGGGCAGGTCTGCAAATATTTATTGACAGAAAAGAGAAATCAATTTTGGAGGGTATTTTGGATAGGATTGCATTTTGATAATAGTAGCTAAAAATGTTTATTAATGTTTAAGTTTATTTTTTCTCATGAAATAAGTCTGGAGATCACTGATTGCTGGCATTAAACTATTGGGTCAAGAACAGAGTCTGTGAAAGTCGTTAGCCCTTCCACATGATCCGTAGGTGGCTGGCACCTCAGCCATTGCTTCTGCATTCCAGGCAGAAATGAGGAAAAGGAAGGAGAGAGCAAAAGTGTGCCTGCCTCCAAGCAGCCCTCTGAGCCTCTAACGCCCTGCATCGTAACACGCACCGAGAGTGGCTGCCACCTCAGGAAGGGAGTTTGGGAAATGGTTTCTCTTTTTTAAAAGCGAGACTCAGCCACAAGCCTGCGATCCCGCCCGCCTTAGCACTCAGGTTGCTTCTGTCCAAACGAAGGGATGCCTTCTGATACCCACACACAGACACCGACTCCGTTCCTTTACGCTCTGATACTGCTAATGGTGCTCTCCGTCCCTGAGCACTTCCTGTGTGCTGCGCACTGTGCTGAGTCCTCGGCGTGTTACTTCATTTAATCGTCGTCAGGGCCGTGTGTCGTGGGAACTGTCACATTCTCCACTTTGCAGATGAGGCAGATAGTGGAGTGCTTTGTTCAGACTTCTCCACAAGTAAACAAGAGAGACGGGATTGTGAGGCAGACGTCTGGCCCTCGAGCCCACACTCATAGCTCCATACATACTGCCTCTTCATTATAACAGCAAAGCAAGTTATCGAGTTTCTAAGAACAACAAAAACTACTGATGTTCATGTTCACAGAATTATAGTCCCTTCAGAGAGGGAAGGATTTTCAAAAACCATCTAATCTAGCACTTACTTTATAAACAGAGTGACTCATTAATGACTGAGTGGGAAGTAGAAGCGAGGCCTTCTCACTCCTAGGTCAGTGCCCTTTCCATTTGGTTGAAACAATAATATTATGTGTTCTAATGAACACATGACATTGGACAAGTCACTTAGCCTCCTGGAATCTCAAAAAGGGTCATTGGACTAACCAATTCCTGCGGGTCCTCAGCTCTGCAGTCCAGTTTGCATATGAGAAGATGCAAGTTCAGTGGTTCCCTTATAAGTTTGATTTCTCTGTGTTTTTACTTCTCTCTATGGCTCAATATGTTTCCCTTTGAGATTTTAAATTTGTTTTGGTCATTTTTCCAGGATCAAATGGCAGAAGCAGCAATAGAAAATGTATAAATCATGGCTTTCACAGCATTAATATGCCTGCTTCTTTCTTTTTTTTTTTTTTTGCCTGCTTCTTTCATTCTCAACATTTGTTCAGTAGATTAATGCTTCAGAAAAAGCTGTTAATATTTCATTACCAGAACCAGCTTATTTTCCTTTGATTGTTTCTAGGAAGCTTCATACAAGAATTTAAAATAGTTTCTTAGGCACCAAGTTAAGAGCCTACATCTCAAAGCAAAACATCTCTATGAGGTTTTTCCCTATTAAAAAAATTCCATTTTGCAAATAACCAAATTCTTCCTTTTGCACATAAATAGAAAAGTGGAGATTTCCACCCAGAAGCAGATGTGTCACTTCTTTGCTGGACATAAAGATGGTGTGAATGGAAATAAAAATCTGGATTGTTCAGAGCATCTAGTTGACGCACTTGATACAGCAAGGCTATGAGTCTCAACAACATGGCCAACTTGGCCAGTGTCTCCTATCCAACCTCAGCTTCCTGGCCAGTTACCTGCCAGCGGACGCACTGAGCACCAAGTTAGAGAAGATTGGTTTGACGTACGCCCACCCCAACTCAGAAAAAGGAGCCAAAGTCAAGGGCCAATGGATGTTGGGTTATCAAAGGACAGCACTCATGTTGGCCTCTCCATGGGAGGGTCATTACTTCAGGAATGAAAATGGACTTGGAGGCAGGTGTCTCTTGGTTCATATCCACGTCCTACCAATTACTAGTGAGCATCCTTAGCCAAGCCCCGTGCCTCCTCTGAACCTTGGAGCCCTGTTGTGGTGAGGCAGATCCCATTAAATGTGAACCACTTACAGTGTGGCACAAGCTGTGCAACAAGTGTGTGTAATTTAAAAAAATACACTGAGTGGCCAGATTATTATGACCACCTGACGTTTGTAGGCAAATTAGCTATAATTTCACGCTGAAGTTGCTAGAGGGCCAGACCATTATAAATAGGGAAGCAGGTTGTTTACCACGACAGAAGTGATTTTTTTCTGAAGATATGGGTAAACAACACGATTTAACAGCCTTTGAAGGCAAATATATATATATATATTGCCTCTTCATTATAACTGCAAAGCAAGTTATATATATTTCACGTTCAAAGGCTGTTAAATTGCGTTCTTTACCCATATCTTCAGAAAAAAAAATCACTTCTGTTGTAGTAAACAACCTGCTTCCCTATTTATAATGGTCTGGCCCTCTAGCAACTTCAGCTCGAAATTATAGCTAAT